AAATCGATGTCCATTGATAACATAACCAGAATGTGACATCACATCAGATTTAGGTCATCGTGCAAGCTATTTCAATGTACTTGACATGTTACAATTGTCTTCTTTGCCTTTCTCTGCAAACCAAGAAGTAAAAGTCTCCATATGTCTTATTTGTAATAAGGTTTCATTCTTGGCAGCACGACTATCTGAATTCTTAATCTCGTCTCTATGCATCCTAAAAATAAATAAATAGTAAGATAAGTTTACGAGAAAATATTAATGGACATAAAACGAACTTATTAACTAAGTTGATTACGTTATATATGGTTCAACTGCGGCACTGTTAAACAACACGTAGCGATGAGCGACCTCTAACATTTCTTGACTCAAGATCTTTGACTTTCCTTTAGAAATTGTACATCCAACAATAGTTGTACCATTCTCAAAATCCTCATTTCGATTATGTCGAACACCTACCTCAGCAGCTTGTGTCATGTAACCACTACAAAAATGCATACATTCATCAGCTAAATAACGCTCTGCTATGCAACCCTCAGGTCTTGAGCGATTTTTAACATATCCTTTAATTGTCTTCATAAACCTAATTTAAACATAGTATGCATGAGATACTTAAATAATTGAAGAAGAAATGTTGAATAAGTACAAAGATATAATAGTAAGTTACCTCTCAAATGGGTACATCCAACGATATTGTACGGGTCCGCCAATGCGAACTTCACGCCCAAGGTGGATGGTTAAGTGAATCATTATGTCAAAAAAAGAAGGGGGGAAAAACCTTTCTAGCATACATAGAGTAACTGCAACATCCTCCTCAAGCTTTTCTATGTTATTTTTACCAATAACTCTTTGACATATTTCGTTAAAAAATGAGCATAGCCTAAAAATTGCATTTCTTGTTCCTTAAGGTAAAAGTCCTCTTAATGCAACTGATAACAATTGTTGTATGAGCACGTGGCAATCATGAGACTTTAGATTTAAAATCCTATTATCTGCTAATGAGATACACTTTGAAATGTTAGAGCTATAACCATCGGGTAATCTTAAATCGAATAATCTCTTACAAAATAACTCTTTCTCTTTTTTGGATAGTATGTATGATGCTGCAGGTAGGTAATATGTATTTCCTTTCAACTCTGGATGAAGATCTTTTCTAATACCCATGTTAAACAAATCCTTACGAGAATTGAGCCCATCTTTTGATTTTCCCTTCACATTCAAAATAGTACCCAGAATGCTCTCACAAACATTCTTCTCAATGTGCATTACATCCAAATTATGACGTAAAAGTAGTGTCTGAAAAATAATAATATAAATTTAGAAACAAAATTTTAAGCAAAAAGTTAACTACATTCAAATAGTTTGAAATAACTAACCTCCCAGTATGGTAGATCGAAGAATATTGAATTCTTTTTCCGTGGCCAATCGGAATCTATTTTTTTCTGTTTCCTTTTTTCCCCTTTTTCCCCCAGTCATTGCTAACATTCTTTATTGAACACATCACTTTTTGACTAGTTAATATTTTTGGACTTGGCCTATGATCCTTATTTCCGTCAAACCAAACTTCTTTCGAGATGATTATATGAAAGAAATCTTCTATGACCCATGTATGCAAACTTTCGACTATATGTCAACCATTTTGCGCATGTGGATAAACCACATACTGGACATGCTGCCTCGCCCTTTGTAGGATATCCAGATAAGTTTCCATAAGCCGGAAAATCCTTAATTGTCCACATCAATACAGCCTTCAAATTGAAGGTGGACTTGATAAATCCATCATATATGTCAACACCAATATTCCACAACTCCTTTAAGTCTTCTATAAGTGGTTGTAGATATACATCTATATCATTCCCAGGTTGCTTTGGACCTGGGATTAACAAAGTCAATAATAAATTTTCCTTGGACATGCATACCCAAGAAGGGAGATTATATATAACTAGAATCACCAGCCAACAACTATATCTAGAACTTAGGTCACCAAAAGGATTAAATCCATCAGACGAAAGGCCAAGCTTAAGATTTCGTGGTTCTGATGCAAAATGAGGCCACTTTTGATCAATTCTCTCCCAAGCTAATGAATCAACTGGATGACGCATTTTTCCATCTTGACTTTTGTGAGTTAAGTGCCATGTTAGTTGTTCTGCCTTGTCAGGTGACCTAAACATTCTTCTAAATCGTGGTATAATTGGAAAATGTCGTAAGACTTTTGCAGGTATCCCCTTTTGAATCTTCTTAGTCCGCTCATTAACTTTCCAACGTGAAGATGCACATTTTGGACATGTCTCCAAATCCTCGAGATCCTTTCTAAACAAACAACAATCATTTACGCATGCATGTATCTTCTCATATCCTAAATCAAAGGTTTTCAATAACCTTTTCGTTGAATTACAAGAATCAGGAAGAGTGTTCCCATGGGGTAGCATGTCTCGAATTATTTCAAGAAGTTCATTGAAACCATTGTCAGATATACCATGCGTAGTTTTAAGCTTGTATAAGACAACGATTGCAGATAATCTTGTATACTTTGTACAA